ATATGAGCGTCGAGTAGTCGTAGAAGATATTCTCAATGGTCCCATCTTCTTGAGCGTACTACCTGCAGAGTGCGGATTTTGACAGACCTATGTTATGGAAATGCTTCCATACTTAGCAACGACACGCTAGAATTCCTGTGAGCCGGCTCAGATTATCTCTAGTCATAGTCAAGTATTTTATTGCTGTAGTGTTGTCAGGATAACTTAAAAGCTCTGGCAAGTCTGCAGCTTCTTGTTTAATCCCATCTTTCATTCAATTTTTTAAAAAAATGTTCTTTATTTAGGCTCGTCACTACCGAAGTTGTTAGTCCAATAGAAGGACCAGGATGGTTGCCTTCTTGACTATTGATTCACCAAGACGGGTACCTTTTGATATGGCGTGACCTTCTAATACTTGAGTAAATTCGTGGTCTCTGATATCTATATAGATGAGCATGTTTTAGTGATATTATAACATATTTAATGGTACTTTTAATAATAAAATTGTTTTTTTTTACCTTCAAATATGTCCGACAATTAGCTTGAATGTACCTTATCAGAATTGGGAATAGCTACAGAATAAGCTACCTAAGGTATAATTCCGGAAAAAAGTAGGTAGAGATACAAAAACACTTCCAAAATACACAATAAGTGAAATTTGCTGGAAAGGAATTAACACATGCCAGCCAGGAAAGTTACTTTCCCGGCTACTCAGGAAGTGAAGTAAAAATAAGCCGCTTCTCGACTGTTTTGAAGGATTTAAATCCACAGATTACTAACCGATTCTGAGTAAAATATATTTTTATAGTAGGCAGTAGAAAATTTTTTTCTAATTCTATAAGTGACAGTTTGGAATTAATTCAGAGATATGTGCGGTTATTTTATTTATAATTTTTCAAGATTATTATGTAATTTCTACTGATGAATAAGAGTTTCAAATATTCAAAGTGTTTAGGCGCTACTAATCTTTGGACTTTATTTTAATTGCTGACAAATTTTAGTATTTCAGATCTATAAAGATAAATATAAACAATTATTCAGTTAATTATTTGATAATAAATATTTAATAACAGACTCATTCAGAAAAATCATAATGAGTACAGTTGTTAAAAATCATAATATAGGAGTACCTACACAGCAATATTTTTGTACAAACCATAATAAAACTGTTTATATTAATCGCACATATTTTTTCATCAAACATTTTTTTATGTATTTATGATTTTTATTGTAGCAATAAAAATAAAAATTATTGACACGCCACTGTATTCATTTAAACTGCTCATTAGAAGATAATTATAATGCAACATTTTGGGAAATGTTTTATGTTAACAAAGACTTAAAGACTGCAAAATACCGACAAAAGGTTTCTATAATAGTTTGTGACCTTTACATGTGACCTTAGCAATAAATTACAAAAGTTGCAAAATTTTCTGTTTTACTATAAATTCCACTTATGTCACATCATGTTAACTATGTCAGTGTGTATTGTTTTTGAGCCATGCTAATGACACTGAACAATTGTTTTTATTAGATTACGTAATCCAATTATTAAAAGAAGAAAATAAAAAAGTAGAAGAAATCTCCGAAGGACACCAGGAGGTCGATTCTCACTTGTAGAAACCTTTTCCTATGGGAATTTGTGACACTTTTCTATAAGTAGGAAAATGTCAAAAATTCCTACGAGTCCAGAATCGACTCCCTGGAAGAAAGCACCCGGGTTTAATCTGAAATCTGATGTAGATCGTATATTTATAAATTTTATCAAACTTATTTTGTCTACTACAAAATCAAACCACCTGAAACGTTCCCATACCTATTTAGTCTAGGAGAAACAAGCGCATTTGTGTTGAAAACCCTTTAATTAAAGTCTTTTAATTAAAAGTATTCTAAATATTATATAAATGCAGTTTTCCACTTGGCAATGTAGTTCCATTTTGTTTAAAATGAAATTGTTTAAACAATTTCTAAAAATGTTTTCATAATATTTATTTAAATGCAAATCAATTCATATAAATGTTTTGATATAAAGTTAATATTTTAGAAGGTATGGATTTTTAGAGGTTAAAAAAATACGATTTTAATGAATTTTAACGGTAATAAATCTATAAAAATAACTGACATGTTAATGAAAATTATTTTTTTATGTTCTTTATAATGTATTTAATAAACTCCGTAGTGATAAATATTAAAATTTTCATCATTAAGGACGGTTGTTTAATTATTTACCTTACCATAAAGTATTGATATCTCTGTTCTACGCATGGGCTGCTGCGACCTCCACGCGGATATATGACAAGTCATAATTTTTAAGATTTATAAGCCCCTGAAATTCTCAAAATTTTAATATTATAAACTATTAAAATTTATATCTTTTAAAGTGTTAACTTCATAAAAAATGTATAGGACCATTTTAATTTGTATTTTAGTGATAAATATGAAAAACTGTATTTATATAATATTTGGCGTATTTTTAAAGGATTCTCACAAAAAATTATAGAATTACTTTTTAACACTCATGCGTCGATTGTTCATAGACTTTGTAGAATATATTTTTCTTCTCATATATCAGATTTGTAAAAGGTTAATAAAAGTGTCTTTTCGTTACCAATGCTTTTGCTTAGTATGGATCTATGTATTCATATATATTTTCTAGATCATTTCTATTTTCAATTTTTCTTTATTCTCTTCCATTTTATGTTTCTCTTCTTCAGTTTTTCTATTAGGCCTTGTACGGATCTTGGTCCAGCCATGTCAATCACTTTTCATATATCTGACCTAGACTGAGTCTACAGTGAGAGCTCTACACTCTCAATTTCATTTTAAAAAGTTCAATAGTTCCTCAATCCAACTATGCTTTGGAATATTTTATAATATGTACGGGTCACAACTTAAGACCCCAAAACTCAGATCCGAAAACTCAGATCTCAAAACTCAGACTTAAAAACACCTACATTTATTACTTACACACTAATAATTTTGGAAAAAAATGGCTTTGGTTCTGTTCTTTTGATTCCGGAACCATTTTATACAATTTTTAGTTTAACATTTACTTTATTTTAAGTTGTATTTTACATTTTCAATGATATTTTACTTTTGTAATATCCTGCTTTATTAGAAGTTTACTTTCTTTTCAGGATGGTATGCCCTGATTACAATAGTAACCTATCTAATTCCTAAGTGTTAGCACGTAAGACCTGAGTGACAGGTTGTATTCCTAAATAATATCAAAGTATATTCACCGTTGAGTAGCGACAGCTGTGGAACCGAATTCTAGTGTGCCGACGCGAAATAGAGAGGCGAGACGTCTTCTAAAACCCCTTTCACTTTAGTCCGGCAGCTGATATAGGAATTCGTTGTTGTGGATTTATTAGTGCTCTTTTATTGTTTTGAATTGAATTGAAATTTATCAATAGTGATATATTTTTATATTTACTACATAAGTTAAATACTCATAAATATAAAACTGCCTAATGAGCAAACTTTTATTATAAATGTAAACTACAAAAGAGTTTTACTTCAAATTACGTCGAGCAGTGTAAACATCACATTCAAGATCAGTTCATAATTCGAGCAATGTTTTACTGTGTCGTTCTGTCAATAACGTCAAAAGAGAGAGAGAAAATTTGCACCAACCAAGATCAAAGGCACCGACGCTTTATGTCGCTACTCAATGGTTAATAAACTTTGATAATATCGTCAGTTTTGCTATTTCTAGCCTTACATATGGACAAGTCTATAATATTATGTGGAAAATATGATTTAGGGAAACCACGAAAACCTAAATCACGATACTGTACAGTAGTATAACAATGACTCTATATATGAATGGGATGAGTTGGTTTATCTTGTAGAATATCGGGTCCAGAAGTTCCTGGAGTTTAATGGTGAGTAAGAGATCTAGAGTCTTATGTTAGCATGTGGAAGTTTTATTTTGGTTTACAAATTAGTGGGAGGCGACGAGGGAGCCAGGCTGTTTGAAGATAGTTTTTGGAATGTGTGTTTGAGAATTTCAGATTGTGAGAGACATATTGTTTTCTGAGGGTTTGGATACGAGTGAGAATGGGGGTACTGAATAAGTTTTAAAAAAGTTCTTCACTTCGGAATATACGTCTCACAAGTGAGGTAAGTTTGTGGGCTAAATCTGTTGGAAGTAAATCGTAAGGAACTGCTCTGCACTAGGATAAAAGAATTGTGTGAATTGGAGTGTTTGGGTTGCATCATCCAAATCGTCCACACAAACCTCCAAAGAGACTGGCTGGCTGTCGTATCTTTACAAAAGTACGTTGGACATTCGAGGACCAGTTGAGAGTTGAAGAGAATCGAGTTTCCCAAATGATCAACTTCGGTCTGTAGTTACTACGACACGCAGTTTGTTAAATACTTCAGCCATTGATATATGCACAGCTTTATAAAAAAAAATTGTTGCCCTGGATATGTTTGCAAATTTTTATATTTTTAAGTGCACAAATTACGAATATATTCATGAAAATGTGCTCTTTTTTTATGATTTTTACATATCTTATATTTTAAACAATTATCTGCTTGTTAGTAGTAAAATTTATTTTCCGAGTCACGATTAGGCTTCTGCGCAACTTTTTCGCGCATACAAACATCTCGTGATTTCCACTCTCAGACCCCTTGCTCCACAGAACAGCTGATATCTTAGTTATTTGATAATATTAAAGTACGTAAATCTGGATAAGTTGTCATGTGTTAATATTTTGTTTCGAATACTGAATGTCCACTCTAATATATTGGTCTAGTCTTTTAAAACATGAGTTCGTTACGAAGAAAGTGTAAATATAGTAGTGATTCATTTTGATATATTTGCGGTGTTTATATAACAAAAAACAAAAAAGAAATATCACAGACTTTGTCAAGGAGACTTATGATGAATATGTCGGTTTTGAAATGGACAAACTAAATAAATTATAGGTTCCTCATAAAGTTTGTCCTGTCTTGAGTATTTGCTTTTGTGGAAAAAAGCTGAACGTTCTGGATTAGACTTTGGTATTCCCATGATCTGGATGGAGCCTAAGAATCATTTCGATGATTGTTACTTTTGCGTAGTAGATGCTAAAGGTTTTAATCGAAATCAAACATGGAGGTATCCAGACTTACAGTCTAGAAAATGTCCTGTTCTACACAGTGAAAATCTCCCTTGGCCTATTTACATTTCAAAAGTAGTTCGCATGCCCTCAGAAATAATGATGTTGCCAAATTCACAGAAATTGGAACAATCTACCAGTGAAAGTGAATGGGAGAGTGAAACGTCTACGACAAAGTTATTTTCTCAAAATGAACTCAGTGATTTAATACGTGATCTCAATTTAATAAAACCAAAAACTGTTAGCTTCAAGATTAAAAGAAAAAAATGTATTGGCACCAACAGTAACAATTACAATATACAGAAGGCGAGAAAGTGAGTTTTTAGAATTTTTTAATGAAAATGAAGGACTGGTATACTGTAATGATATTGCGAAAGAATACAAACCTACTGAGTGGCGTTTTTTTTATTGACAGTTGTAAAAGAAGTTTAAAATGCATCTTACTGCACAATGGAAATAAATTTGCATCAATTCCAATTGCCCATTCAACAAAACTCAAAGAAAAATATGAAAATGTAAAATTAGTTTTAGAAAAAATGAATTACTCGGAGCATCAATGGCGAATCTGTGTGGATTTGAAGATAGTTAATTTTTTACTTGGTCAACAAAGTGGATATACGAAATACCCTTGCTTTATTTGTATGTGGAACAGTAGAGCAAAGCAACTTCATTTGCAACAAGATGTTTGGCCTGTAACAAATTCTTTAACTGTCGGTAAAGCCAATGTAATAAGGGAGCCATTAGTGAGCAGAGACAAAATCATACTTCCACCATTACACATTAAATTAGGAATGATAAAGCAATTTGTAAAAGCGTTGGACAAGGAAGGAAATTGTTTTAATTACATTTGCAGAAAATTTCAAAGCTTAGTATAAAAAAGTTGAAAGGTGAAATATTTGATTGTCCTCAAATACAGCAATTGATAAAAGACACATATTTTATTAAAGTTATGATTGTTCCGGAAAGTAAGACTTGGAAAAGTTTTGTGTTGATAGTAAAAAAAATCCTACGTAATCATAAAACACCAAATTATGAAGAAAATCTACAAAATATGCTGACAAATTTTCCGACTCTAGGAGCAATTATGAGTTTCAAATTACACTATCTCCGCAATCATCTGGATACATTTCCGGATAATTTGGGAAATTATCGTGAGGGAGAGTGATTCCGCCAGAATCCAAAACTGATGGAGAAAAGATATCAGAGTCGATGGGATGGTCACATGATGGCAGATTACTGCTGGTCTTTAAAAAGAGATTGTCCCCTAAAAAATTATAAAAGAAAAGCTCATAAAAGGCGTTTTATGGAAATTCTAACATATGTTTTCCATATTTTTCTCTCCATTTACTTCGATGTATTCTAATTTTTCAAAACAAAACTGACTTTATAAATATATCTGTTATTTTGTTTCTTGTTTTTCGATTTTTGTAATGTAAAATGAAAATAAAGATTTAAATAAAACGAGAGCAAATCTTAGGAAATCATTGATAGTTTTATGAATTGTAAGCATAAATATATCCAAAATCAATCTTATATCTAGGCACTAAAACCACTGTAGACTAGTGTAATGAATACATTCAATCCAGTTTAATTATTAGCCTATTTTGTTTAATAACTTAAAAAGTTAATCTAAATAATAATGCCCCAAGTCAAGCATTTACGATTATGACAATGTGATCATTAAGTTCAAGTTCAAATGTTAATCTGGTCTATATAGATATTTGCAATTTTCTATTAGCGTCTTCATGATTCATTCCAACAGGCGCAATTGCAGTATCATCAGCAAATCTTACGATAGTATTGTGCCGAAGATTAGGAATAACTCTGGTATACAGCAAGTAGAGTACTGAACCTAGTACACTACCTTGAGATAGTCCTGCCTTGATTTCTGTTAGGTCGCAATAGGCCTTTTCCTGTTTTATTCTACAATAGTTTTCTGATAAATATGATTTCAATAGTTCTTAGTATTGAAGTCGCAGAAACATGTTCAGTGCCTGATTCAGACCTTCATGCTATACTTTGTAGAAAGCATAAGTCACATCCAGAAAGACGGTAAAACAAGCTTAATTTTCTTCTAGAGACTTTTAGATGATATCTATGATTCTATGAAATTGATCGATGATCGAATATTTCTCTCTGAAGCCAAACTTATGGGAGGGTATTTCTTTATTTCTTCTATTATAGGTTTTAATCTCGTAAGAAGCAATTATTCATAAAGTTTTCAGTAAACAGGCAACAGCGAGATGTAACTTCATGGGGAATTTTACCTGGTTTGAATATAATTATAACTTGTTTGAATAAAATTATAACTTCTGTCACTTTCCACATCTTTGGTACGTACATTAGTCTAAAAAACGCATATTCAAAATTTCCCCGGTCAATTTCTTTCGTATTTATATTTGTTTAGATTTCCATTTAAATTCTTTTTTGAGAGGTAGGTTTTTTGCAAAATGTTTTGGGCTCAGCTTTCATCTATGATTCTGTTTAGTGAGTTATATATACTAGGCTTTTTTATTTATTTGGTAGCTGTCGTACTTATATGAAAATACCTTTCAAACTAGGTGAAACTCACTATACTTATCATCAATATGAACTAATATCTATAGTTTTTATTGTATGTATTTTTTTGCTCAACGGCTGCTACATTTTTTTGTACTAAGAATAATAATTATTAATCCTTTACTGCACGTCATACTTCTTATTCACTTTATTTTATATTGTTTTTTAGATTGTTATATAATTAAAAAAAAATCAATACCGAGCACTAACCTTGACATTTTTTATTAAAAATAAATCCTTAATGTCGAAATTGGTATCAAATGAACGATTTCCTAATAAAGTTCCTATATATTTATTTTTAATCAATTAGATCTTAGCACATAACGTTGAATTTATTCTACTTCAATAATTGATTGCTATTACGTACCTAATTCTTGAAAATATCTGTATAAATCATGTAATTTAAATAATTAATTTCTTATTAAATGTCAAATATGCTTAATAGTTAATAGTTAAATCTAGATAGTGATTATGGTGAACGAAAAAACTTTTCTACTAAGCATATAATAATTATTGTGTCACGTAATAGGGACAATGTTATAATATCCACCAGATGGCGCTTCTTTACGGTAAAGTCTATGAAGTGACCTGCAATTTAAAAAAAATGATAATAGATTTTTCCCGTTATTAATAATCTCTATTACTCATGCGCAAATCCTACTTCCTGTTAAAGTTCTCATAATTTGTTGTTGTTATTTTGCTTACACTAAGTTCCAATTACACATCCGTAAGTGTCATTTTTAACTTTTAGAAGTGTTATTTGCGCAAGGTCAAATTACAAATATTTTGTTCATATTTCTTACCTTGCAGAACATATAGATAAGATGACAGTTGTCTAAAGTTACAATGACACGGGATAATCGTCGTAGCCAATCCAACAGTTGTAAGGTGAAAATAAAATCTATTGAAAATTAATATATTCAAAAGTCCCGCGCTATTATCGCGCATGAGCAATGCAAAATTGTGGAATAACGGGAAAAAATATTGAATTTTACAATTTACAAATAGGGTGTGCTGTGCACATATTATGCAGAAAAATAGATGCATTGGCTAACTAATAATATTAAGGTGAAGTGGGGAGAAAAAGTCCTTTATATCTCACAAGGAAAGTCCAATGTTTAATTATTCAACAAAACATTGAGTGCGACCGGTTTCGAAGTAACATCACTTCATCTTCAGGCTCGCCTAGTGGAAAGGAGAATATGTGGTGTAAGGTGTGTTGACTTTGAGCCCACAATATATAAAATAGTAAAAAATAGAAAAACTCACCATACTCTCCATCCACTAGGGAATACTACAGACAAGTTTCATCAAAACGTGGGGGATGAAATAAATTGTAAAACAAAACAATGTTACAAGTTATAAAAGTTAAAAATATTTGAAAAACAAATATTAGTCGATATAAACAGTTAAAAATTTTAAAATATTCAAGACGATACAAAAACAAATTACATACATTAAACAGATTAAAAGATAAGGCCTATTTTAAGCAAACATTGCTGTTTTTTTATAAAAATCTAACATTTTTGAAAGGAGACCTGTCAAGTTAAGGCCTCTACAGGTGGTGGTAAGTACTAAAGAAAAATTCTAAGATAAACTTATGACAGGGTATAGGTAATAAGATGTAAACTATGAGTGAAGAAATATTTATTATTTATTATATAAGATTTGGGCCATGAACCAATCACCAAGTGTATGTGATGTTGTAGGATAAAATAAGAAAGAAGAAGAAATGACTGGGTTAACTGTTGTGAAGCAACTGAAAAATAAAAGAAGAAGAAAAGAAGAAAATGACAGATGTGAAAACACACAACTTAACCTAGTCCTTAAACATGCACGTTGGTTTTTTGTGGGAAAAAATTACTTACTGAAATGTACCCCTTGCAAGGAAATATGTGAATAGAAATAAAGGGGGAGGTTAAAAAGGAAGTTAGAACGATAAATTTAGATTAGTGTTGAGAAAACTGGAGGAGTTTCTGACATTATCTGGGCATTTAAGCAACCAACAGGATTTAATTTTAAATTTCTCAATATCTCGAGGCTTTCGATGCTATTAAGAGTAAATCTATGGTAGGAACTATGTAGGATTTCGAAACCTTCAGTTGAATCGAAGTCGGGATTTGAGTCCAGTAGGTGGTTGGCAAAATGTGAAAATCCTGTTGTATTTTGGTTAAGACAACGCAAATGTTCTTTTAAACGGATCTTGAAATTTCGAAATGTGCGTCCCACATAGAAAGAATGGCAAGATTTACAAGTCAATTTATAAATTCCAGACAAGTCAAAGGGATCTAATTTATCTTTATTATGAACAAATAACTTATGTGATGAGGAGGGGGTTTTGAAAGATACTTTAAAGTGGTCTTTAAGTAAGCTTGCCACTTTATAGGATGCTTTTCCAATAAAGGTAAGAGAAATGTATTTCTTACTGGTGGTTAGTTCATGTACCAAATTAGGATTATTAATATAAACCAAGTTTTGTTGAATTTTATTTTGTTTATGTGTTAGCATTTTATCAATAATATATATATTTAAAAAAGAAAAAGAAACGTTATTAAATAATCTCTCTTCAAGAGGCACTTTTAATGATAATTTAATTAAAAATATTAATAAAAAGATTAAAAATAATGATCTAATATTGACAAAAGCAGATAAGGGCAATTGTCTATTAATTCTGAACAAATTTGATTACTTGTCTAAAGTTTACAACTTTTTGAACACCAATAGTTTCGTTATAATCACTAACCCCTTAAATAAG